GCCGTTGCCTTCGGTGCCCGGCGCCGCCCCGGCGCGGGCCTGCTCGGCGATGGCCTCGGTGATGGCTTCGGTGGTGTTGACGTTGGCAATCAGGATTCGCATGGGCAGTCCTCCTTGTTCAGTGGCTGGGGGGGGGGGGGGGGGGGGGCTCTCACCAGGCTGAGGCAGCCGTCCAGGTCCTCTCTGTGGCAGCAGTCCAAACTCTGGCTTGGCCGCAGGCTGCTGTTCCGGGTGGCTCTCACGCTCAGACTATCCAGAATCTCGCTCAGCAAATCCAGCTCTTCCCCGGACCCAAGGAAGCTGCCATCCAGAGCTTCCTCTGCCAACGGTTCCTGGGCATCCTCAGGGCTCAGAGAGGGTGTCCTGGGTGAGGATGGGCAGCCTCAGATGTCAGCCCCAGACCAGCGGCCTTGAAGGGTCTGGAGTTTGGGGGCCCACTTCCCCAGGAGTCCCAGCCCCCCACTTCCAACACTGCTCCCTCCCTCTGCCTTGGAGTCTTACCCCTCCCCCAGGGACTCAGAAGGTCTCTCTTCCCTCTGGAGTCTCCTGCTGGGGCGAAGGGGCCGGTTCTGCAAAGGACAGATTTGGGGGCTGGGGCCTCAGGAGCTACAGAATCAGGGGGTTCTGTGAAGGGGGAGTGGGCACCCCATTTTGGGGGTAGTCGAGATGTCTGGCTGGAGACGGGATGGGACAAGGACTTGGTGATAAGTCCAGGTACGTGCGTGGGCGCGGGGGCGGGGCTCTTACCTGCCCAAAGTGCTGGGTGATAGGCAAGCGCTGTTGCAGGCAATCTGAGCGGCTGGTGAGGGAAGGGGCCCTCAGGGAGCCCCCCCTCTGCAGGCCAGAGTCCCCATCCTAGGAAGAGGGTGGGTGAGCCAGGAGCCCCTCCCCGCCGCTGCCCCGCGGCGTTGGCTACTGGCTTTTACCTTGTACGTCAGAAGGCTCTGCACCCCCTTCAAGCCACTCTTCGCCTACGGAGGAGCCAAAGAGACTGTGAATCCAGAACGATTTGACCCCGGACATTTGAGAACTCGGCCCTCCATCCGCGAAGACACTTTTGTCTTGCCATCTGCTCATGTGTGTCTCAAAATATATTCAGGTTCCCCCGGTACCCCCTGAGAAGTCAATACCAACTTGCCCCTCGGACTAACACAGAAGGCATGTTACTGGAGGAGATAACCCCCAAATGAAACAGGGAATGGCAGAGCTAGAACACCGTAAAAATGAGTCTGTTCAAAAGCCAAGCAAAGAATGAAATCCAGCAGACAGTTGCGAGCTGTGGAAGTTGGTCCCAGGAAAATTTGGGGCTTGGGAGAGAAACAAACCACAAGGGCAGAAGCTGGGATTGTGGTGTCTCAGGACAAAAGATGTTTGCCAAAGAACCTTGGTTGTCATTTTTAAATAGGAAAGACCTGATGCGACAAAAATGAATGAACACAGTCAATGGAAAATAAAAGTAGGAAGCATGGTAAATGGTTTAACTGCTGGTTTAGTTCTGATAAATTGTATGCGCTCTAAACGTGGGGTTAAACAGTCCCCTGCCTTTGTCACCCTGGTAAGTGGCCCTTCCAGCCCAGCCTCACCGAGCGGTACATGTTTCTGACGGCTGGTTGGGTCTTGGCCTTGACGGAATGCAGGAGGGCACCACCACCTTTCTGGGGAGAGAAAGCCGAGGAAGAGAGGCTTGGGCACGTGGGGTTATCCCAGGCCCCACCTGCCCACCTGGGCTGTGTGTTACTGGAGAATCCCCTCTCCCTCTCTGAGTCTTTTCTTTTTTTTTTTTTTGTGGTACGCGGGCCTCTCACCGCTGCGGCCTCTCCCATCGCGGGGCACAGGCTCCGGACGCGCAGGCCCAGCGGCCATGGCTCACGGGCCCAGCCGCTCCGCGGCATGTGGGATCCTCCCAGACCGGGGCACGAACCCGTGTCCCCTGCATCGGCAGGCGGACTCCCAACCACTGTGCCACCAGGGAAGCCCCCTCTCTGAGTCTTGATTTCTTCACCTCTATCTATAAATGAGCATAGCAGGGACGGTGGTAGGTTTGATTTAATCCCACAATAAACACTAAAGTGTTCGGTGTTACTACCTTTAGGTTGTCTGCCCAGAGCTGGTAGGAGCGAAGGGTCCCTGGAGAGAGGAGAGAGGAGAGAGCATTGCCAGGGTGGGCAGGCTCAGACTGGGCCACAGGTGTGTGTGTTGGGG